GAATGCGAAACAAATCCTCGACATCTTCTGTTGTATGACCGTTACACCTTCTCGAAATCGTCTTGGTGGAGCGACTAAACGGAACTCCCAAAGACACGATGTTTCTCTCTTAAGACCTCTCGGTTTTATCCGAATTTTCTCAAGAAGAGTACTCTCTTGAATTTCACGTGTGATAGGTGTAAATCTCATGTTAATGGAGGCTAGGGACTTGGTGTATTTATAGGCTACAATAGGGACCCTAAGGTGGCACTAAATATAAAGTACCCAAGTATGGGCCTAAATGTGGGTCAAACCCGCTCTGCTCATACTTGAATATAAATCATTCAACTAGAGAAATATTATTGTAATCCCCATTTAGCACCGAATTACAATTAATTAGTCTCCCGACTAATTTCTCGATTTACCTCCTCGTGTTTAAGATATAACGTCAACTTCTTGAATTCGAAACTAGTACCACTCAATCCTTTATTATGATGTCGGAAATTAATTCGTCGGTCGGACTTGACATAATAATCCTTCTTGAGATCATTCCGGGGACATCATTAATCTGTCTTCAGGACATGTTGACCGTAAACAATTTCAGCGACACATTATGTAGCCGACATCACTTACCAAGATATTGAGTATGTCAACCTACCATAATATATCTCAACCATGATAAATCAAATAACAAGTGTCGATCACATCTTTCCGTTTATTATTTTACGAGTTAAAAGGACGCAGAAATTACTTGGTGTGCATAAAATAATGTTAATCATTCTGTAGGTCTATTCAATACACCGAGATGTACTAGTGTAATCCATTAGTCAAATACCAGCTAATTCAAAGATCATACTACATTCTTTCACGACAGGGAGTTTAATTCTCTCTAGATTGTGAACCATTATTTATATTATACAAAGAACCGATATATGATCTTTCTGTTTCAGACACGGAACCATATCATCTACAATGTAAAAAAAAAAAAAGAGCAATGTCCGCTTAAATAAATGAACTGCGAACATCCACTTGACTAATAACATGAAGCTCATTCAAAATGGAATTATTCAGTAACACAAAGTCGAGTTTTTACAGTATACTCCAACACTTAAGTCTCCAAATCGTCTTAGAAACCTAATGATCCACCTGTCATAAGCTCTCATCAGGTTGACCTTAACTCATACGAACTTAAGGCCAAGATGTCCCCTCATTTGTCCGAGTTCAGACGAAGATCTTCTAATCAATCGACCTATACACTGAGTTGCCCAAACAAGCTCTTTGATGAGGTCAGGCGCTGATACCTAGCTTTTTTTTTTTCAAACGATAAATCTACATTAATTAAAACTCCAAAGTTTATGTACAACAGTACAAGCCGACCAGCCAAATGGCTGACCTTTTACAGTCTAAACTCCCCAAACAAAACTAGACAGCAAAAGAGAGCGAGCATCACCGAGAGCCTTGGCTTAACCCTGACTAAACAACCAAAAGGAGACAGAACAACCCCAACCCACAAGATACAAAGAAAGAAAGGGAAAAAAGAAAAGGAAAAAACTGAGCAAAGCAGAAACTAACTATTTACAGGACCTATCAAATAGGAGCAATGGGGATTGCACTGATAGCACTAATGGCTACCCTACAGTCCATTACCCCTGCAAAACAGTCACCCCAACCCACAAGAAAAAGAAACACAAGAAAAGAAAGCAGAAAAAACTACAGCAAAAAGACTAGCTATCTAATATTGCAGCATACTCCGACCACTCCAACCTGGCCCCATGAGCTGTTTCTTTCTCTGAAATCCATTCTTTTCTAAAAACCCAACAGTTACGGGTTTTCCAGAGCCACCACAAGACGTATGTAGAGAGAGTGATCCTGTCTGTGGCTCCAAAATAGTTCTTCATTAAAATCAAGTCCTGCCACCATGATGGAAAGTGCTTCTCTGATTTATGCAAGCCATCCCATGTCACACCTGCTAGCCTCCATACCCTGTGAGCTCTTTGACAAGCAAAAAAGATGTGTTCTAGTGACTCCTCAACCTCCCCACACATACTGCAAATGGGATCCACCTGCAATCCTCTTTTCGGAAGCTTGTCCTGAGTGCCAATAAATCCATGATAGCATCTCCACACAAAAAGCTTTCTTGAACCGGTCATATCCAAACTTACCACTCATACTAGTTCACCAAGATATTCAGTGTGCTATATAAACAATACTAAAAAAAGACATTCAATGAAATTTCACCTTTTAAAAATGAGTGCACTTGAGCCCCGTGCATTTTTGTCATAATGACACGGTCAGATGCCAAACACTTTCAAGCGCCTTCGTCTAATTATTTTGCAGCTGCTTTGTTGGAATTCAAAGCCCCATAAGACGAGAATGAGTTGAATCTTACAG